ATTTTTATAAGATTTTGAAAAATTACAATTTCGACAAAATGTTGAAAATTAACAATTTTTATAAGATTTTGAAAAATTACAATTTCAACAAAATGTTGAAAAAAAAATAACAATTCTTTAATACAATTTTGAAAAATCATATTTCTTTGATAAAATGTGGAAAATTAACAATTTTTATAAGATTTTGAAAAATTACAATTTCGACAAAATGTCAAAAAAAATAACAACTTCTAATACAATTTTGAAAAATTATGATTTTTTTCGATAAAATGTTGAAAAATAATAATTTTAATAAAATTGCGAAAACTATAATTTTTTGGTAAAATATTGAAAAAAAATAATAATTTTAACAAATTTGCGAAAATTATAATTTTTTTGGTAAAATATTGAAAAATAATAATTCTAATAAAATTGCGAAAATTATAATTTTCTGATAAAATGTTGAAAAATTATAATTTCTATAAGATTTTGAAAAATTACAATTTCGACAAAATGTTGAAAAATTATAATTTTTATAAGATTTTGAAAAATTACAATTCCGACAAAATGTTGAAAATTAACAATTTTTATAAGATTTTGAAAAATTACAATTTCGACAAAATGTTGAAAATTAACAATTTTTATAAGATTTTGAAGAATTACAATTTCGACAAAATGTTGAAAAATTATAATTTTTATAAGATTTTGAAAAATTACAATTTCGACAGAATGTTGAAAATTAACAATTTTTATAAGATTTTGAAAAATTACAATTTCGACAAAATGTCAAAAAAATAACAACTCTTAATACAATTTTGAAAAAGTATGATTTTTTCGATAAAATGTTGAAAAATAATAATTTTAATAAAATTGCGAAAATTATAATTTTTGGTAAAATATTGAAAAATAATAATTCTAATAAAATTGCGAAAATTATAATTTTCTGATAAAATGTTGAAAAATTATAATTTTTATAAGATTTTGAAAAATTACAATTTCGACAAAATGTTGAAAAATTATAATTTTTATAAGATTTTGAAAAATTACAATTTCGACAAAATGTTGAAAAATAACAATCTTTAATACAATTTTGAAAAATTATAATTTTTTTCGATAAAATGTTGAAAAATAATAGTTTTAGTAAAATTGCGAAAATTATAATTTTTTGATAAAACGTTGAAAAAAATAACAATTTTTAATACAATTTTGAAAAATCATATTTCTTTGATAAAATGTGGAAAAATTATAATTTTTATAAGATTTTGAAAAATTACAATTTCGACAAAATGTCAAAAAAAAATAACAACTTCTAATACAATTTTGAAAAATTATGATTTTTTTCGATAAAATGTTGAAAAATAATAATTTTAATAAAATTGCGAAAACTATAATTTTTTGGTAAAATATTGAAAAAAAATAATAATTTTAACAAAATTGCGAAAATTATAATTTTTTTGGTAAAATATTGAAAAATAATAATTCTAATAAAATTGCGAAAATTATAATTTTCTGATAAAATGTTGAAAAATTATAATTTCTATAAGATTTTGAAAAATTACAATTTCGACAAAATGTTGAAAAATTATAATTTTTATAAGATTTTGAAAAATTACAATTCCGACAAAATGTTGAAAATTAACAATTTTTATAAGATTTTGAAAAATTACAATTTCGACAAAATGTTGAAAATTAACAATTTTTATAAGATTTTGAAAAATTACAATTTCGACAAAATGTTGAAAAATTATAATTTTTATAAGATTTTGAAAAATTACAATTTCGACAGAATGTTGAAAAAAATAACAATTCTTTAATACAATTTTGAAAAATTATAATTTTTTTCGATAAAATGTTGAAAAATAATAATTTTAATAAAATTACGAAAATTATAATTTTTTTGGTAAAATATTGAAAAATAATAATTCTAATAAAATTGCGAAAATTATAATTTTTTTGATAAAATGTTGAAAAATAATAATTTTTAATACAATTTTGAAAAATCATATTTCCTTGATAAAATGTGGAAAAATTATAATTTTTATAAGATTTTGAAAAATTACAATTTCGACAAAATGTTGAAAATTAACAATTTTTATAAGATTTTGAAAAATTACAATGTCGACAAAATGTTGAAAAATTATAATTTTTATAAGATTTTGAAAAATTACAATTTCGACAGAATGTTGAAAATTAACAATTTTTATAAGATTTTGAAAAATTACAATTTCGACAAAATGTCAAAAAAAAATAACAACTTCTAATACAATTTTGAAAAATTATGATTTTTTTCGATAAAATGTTGAAAAATAATAATTTTAGTAAAATTGCGAAAATTATAATTTTTTGATAAAACGTTAAAAAAAATAACAATTTTTAATACAATTTTGAAAAATCATATTTCTTTGATAAAATGTGGAAAAATTATAATTTTTATAAGATTTTGAAAAATTACAATTTCGACAAAATGTTGAAAATTAACAATTTTTATAAGATTTTGAAAAATTACAATTTCAACAAAATGTTGAAAAAAAATAACAATTCTTTAATACAATTTTGAAAAATCATATTTCTTTGATAAAATGTGGAAAATTAACAATTTTTATAAGATTTTGAAAAATTACAATTTCGACAAAATGTCAAAAAAAATAACAACTTCTAATACAATTTTGAAAAATTATGATTTTTTTCGATAAAATGTTGAAAAATAATAATTTTAATAAAATTGCGAAAACTATAATTTTTTGGTAAAATATTGAAAAAAAAATAATAATTTTAACAAATTTGCGAAAATTATAATTTTTTTGGTAAAATATTGAAAAATAATAATTCTAATAAAATTGCGAAAATTATAATTTTCTGATAAAATGTTGAAAAATTATAATTTCTATAAGATTTTGAAAAATTACAATGTCGACAAAATGTTGAAAAATTATAATTTTTATAAGATTTTGAAAAATTACAATTTCGACAGAATGTTGAAAATTAACAATTTTTATAAGATTTTGAAAAATTACAATTTCGACAAAATGTCAAAAAAAAATAACAACTTCTAATACAATTTTGAAAAATTATGATTTTTTTCGATAAAATGTTGAAAAATAATAATTTTAGTAAAATTGCGAAAATTATAATTTTTTGATAAAACGTTAAAAAAAATAACAATTTTTAATACAATTTTGAAAAATCATATTTCTTTGATAAAATGTGGAAAAATTATAATTTTTATAAGATTTTGAAAAATTACAATTTCGACAAAATGTTGAAAATTAACAATTTTTATAAGATTTTGAAAAATTACAATTTCAACAAAATGTTGAAAAAAAATAACAATTCTTTAATACAATTTTGAAAAATCATATTTCTTTGATAAAATGTGGAAAATTAACAATTTTTATAAGATTTTGAAAAATTACAATTTCGACAAAATGTCAAAAAAAATAACAACTTCTAATACAATTTTGAAAAATTATGATTTTTTTCGATAAAATGTTGAAAAATAATAATTTTAATAAAATTGCGAAAACTATAATTTTTTGGTAAAATATTGAAAAAAAAATAATAATTTTAACAAATTTGCGAAAATTATAATTTTTTTGGTAAAATATTGAAAAATAATAATTCTAATAAAATTGCGAAAATTATAATTTTCTGATAAAATGTTGAAAAATTATAATTTCTATAAGATTTTGAAAAATTACAATTTCGACAAAATGTTGAAAAATTATAATTTTTATAAGATTTTGAAAAATTACAATTCCGACAAAATGTTGAAAATTAACAATTTTTATAAGATTTTGAAAAATTACAATTTCGACAAAATGTTGAAAATTAACAATTTTTATAAGATTTTGAAGAATTACAATTTCGACAAAATGTTGAAAAATTATAATTTTTATAAGATTTTGAAAAATTACAATTTCGACAGAATGTTGAAAATTAACAATTTTTATAAGATTTTGAAAAATTACAATTTCGACAAAATGTTGAAAAATTATAATTTTTATAAGATTTTGAAAAATTACAATTTCGACAGAATGTTGAAAATTAACAATTTTTATAAGATTTTGAAAAATTACAATTTCGACAAAATGTCAAAAAAATAACAACTCTTAATACAATTTTGAAAAAGTATGATTTTTTCGATAAAATGTTGAAAAATAATAATTTTAATAAAATTGCGAAAATTATAATTTTTGGTAAAATATTGAAAAATAATAATTCTAATAAAATTGCGAAAATTATAATTTTCTTATAAAATGTTGAAAAATTATAATTTTTATAAGATTTTGAAAAATTACAATTTCGACAAAATGTTGAAAAATTATAATTTTTATAAGATTTTGAAAAATTACAATTTCGACAAAATGTTGAAAAATAACAATTTTTAATACAATTTTGAAAAATTATAATTTTTTTCGATAAAATGTTGAAAAATAATAGTTTTAGTAAAATTGCGAAAATTATAATTTTTTGATAAAACGTTGAAAAAAATAACAATTTTTAATACAATTTTGAAAAATCATATTTCTTTGATAAAATGTGGAAAAATTATAATTTTTATAAGATTTTGAAAAATTACAATTTCGACAAAATGTTGAAAATTAACAATTTTTATAAGATTTTGAAAAATTACAATTTCAACAAAATGTTGAAAAAAAATAACAATTCTTTAATACAATTTTGAAAAATTATAATTTTTTTCGATAAAATGTTGAAAAATAATAATTTTAATAAAATTGCGAAAATTATAATTTTTTTGATAAAATGTTGAAAAAAAATAATAATTTAAATACAATATTGAAAAATTATATTTTTGATAAAATGTTGAAAAATAATAATTTTTATAAAATTTTGAAAAATTACAACTTCGACAAAATGTTGAAAAATAATAATTTTAATAAAATTGCGAAAATTATAATTTTTTGATAAAATTTTGAAAAATTATATTTTCGATAACATCCTGAAAAATAATAACTTAATAAAATTTTGAAAAACCGTATACCTTTTTTTTTTTTTTTTAGATTTTTTGTTGCGTATGATGAGTGGAGGGTGGCTCCCGATCGAGAAGACGATCGGGTGCAATGGGGATTGGACCCGATTTTAATGAATAGTAGTCCCCGAAAACGTTACACCCGGTGTCAGTGGTACCAGGAGTACTCCTGGTGCGAGAGGAGCCGAATCTACTTCTGTCGAGGTTTTTGGGCGACTGTGAGTATTAATTGATTTGTTATATAAAAAAAATATTGACAAAGAGAGAGAAACCTATGCATATATAAAATTTTTTTTTTTTTTTTTTTTTTTTTTTTTTTAGTCTGGGTTTGTCGATCCCTCGGTTGTAAGGGATGCAGCGGGGGACGTGAAAGTTCTCCAGGGCTGGTGGGAGATAAACAGGAGTCACCCAACATGGTGAGTAAAAGAAAAGTGGGAGAGGAAAATGGGGATAAGGAGACTATTAGATCCTTTCCATTTTACCCCTTTTTTTTTTTTAAGGACACTACGCTCACTGCCAGCTATACCTCCCAAGGTCGGCTACCAGCCGATAACGAGGGCACTTGTCCTTTCTTACGTACAATGTTTTCATTGGACGAGAGAGGGGCAGGCGAGGGTACGCTCAAGGTGGCAGTTGGTAAGTAGCAAAAAAAAAACATATATATATATGGGTGATTCTCCGTAAAGTGGGTAATTTCATGTCTCTGAATTATATCTTCTAAGAATCTTAAAATTCAATTATCAACATTGAAGAAAGATATTGTTTTAACATCCCTTAACTATAAAAAAAAACCGTACTATCTTTAATTATTCAATTAATATTAAAATAATTTTTTTTTTTTTTTTGGGGGGGGGGAAATCACCCATACAGAGTTCAAAATAGAATCATAATTCTCTGGAATTTTGAAGGTACAGAAGGAACTCTCTTCCCTTTTTGTTTATTTCAGAAGGCTCGGATTCCTCTAAGGAGGATTTGGCAGGAGGTTGGTCCAGAGGGCCATTTGCTAGATTCGACTGTCTAGCTTGCGGTTGACCTTCGGACCAGGGAGCCATCTCTCACCTCTTAGCTTAAAAAAAAAGAATAATAAAATAAAAAAAAAGTTAATAATTTTTTTTTTTTTTTATAATTCTGTAATTTTTCTGTCTTTTTTTTTTTTTTTTTTTTTTTTTTTTAAAAAAAAGAAAATAAAATATTTGTCATGAAAATTTCCCGTTCTCTCTCTCTTCCTTCTTTTTTTTTTTCTTTTATATCTTCTTAATTTCAGAAATACGAGCGATACTTGTTCCCCCTCCCCTTTAATAGAGAAATGATTAAATTTAAAAAAATTAAACATTATGAAAATAAATCGAAACCTTAATCTTTTATATAAACACAAAAAGGGGGGGAACTTTCAACGTTGGTGCTTCGATGCAAGGTAAGTGGAAAGTGTTCTTTTTTTTTTTTTTTTTTTTTTTTTTTTTTTTTTTTTTTTTTAATGATATGTATAAAAAAATTGCTAAAGATAACAATGATTATATTAATATCGGGTAGAATTCGCCCGCTAACACTATCAATTATCTTTATATGAGTTTCCACGACCGATTTCTTCATCAACCATGCACTGACCCAAAACTCCCACAAATCATTAGACAGGTGACAATGTTTCGTTAGAGCACATTTGCACCCAGTCCTTTGACAACGTGGTAGGAAAGGATGTCTGGTAAAATATTGAGGGCGGCCCAAGTGGCAGTTCGGCGGTCAGACCACGTAAGCCTCCCTCTACAAAATTTCTCTGTTCTTTTACATGAGAATATGCTAGGACCTGTCCCGACGGTGCTGAAATTGATAAGAGATATCGATCGTGGGTTTTCATGTAATAAAAAAAAATAAAACGAGGCAAGATAAAACTCAACAACAGAAATCGAAACAGGAAAAATAAAAATTTGATTAGATACATATACACATACATATACATGCATACACATAGATATATATATATATAGGTAAAATTTGTGCATAGCATACTATATTACTCTTCAACTAAACTGGTTGAAGTTTTTGTATGGGCAATACAATTACCCTTTTTAAGCAGTTCTTCGTTGGTAAACTGACACTAGTTGATGATGTTGATTTCGTTGTCGAAATTCCGAAGCCTTCGGAATTTAGTTGTCAAGATTGGGTTGTAGGTACAAGATTCTTAGGTGCCTCAACGGTCGATGGTTGGAGTTCCACGCCTTGATCTAGATTCGTAGATGTTGAAGGGATTTTTCCAGATCTCTGCATATCTAGGTGCTCGTCTTGACTCCTTAACTTATACCCTGTCTCCGGAACGGGATCAGCCTTGTTCCTTTTGAAATTACTTTTGCCAGTGATAGTCTTGATTTTTCTACTGATTGAGTGTCGACATAGAAGGAGGAGACTGATAATGCCAAAAATTATCAATCCACTATAGGACCCATAAATAAGGATAGAGTGATGGGTTCTCCATTTTCGCTGCATCGCAAAATTCTCCAATTCCTGTTCCAGTTGTTCCAGAGTTTTGGAGTTGGTATCGAAATTGGGGGTCTTCAATTTTGTTCGAACATTCTCTTGAATTCCCATCGTAGTTGTTAAATGGGAATAGGTAGAAAATACATTTGAAATCCGTTTTAAGTCCAGGTGTAACTCGGGTTCATATAAGATCTCCGTTTGGCCTACCTGAGTTGCTGTTGCTGGGATAGTTATATCTTTTGTCTTTGCCGAACATCCTGGGGCTAGCCTTATTATCCCAGTACCTGTGACATTTATTTTGATCGGATAAGCAGAGTGGCAGATTATCAGTAACACTTCTGGCTTGGCCACTGAATAAAGCCAGGCTGCTAAGGTCCGCAGAGGTTTCCAAAAAGATTCTAGACTTGAAGTAATTCTGATATCACAGGTTCGTAGTACTTTGTCCGTGGGATTGGTCAGGAGTGATACCTCACAGATTGGTCTGTTCTGAAGGTCGTAAATGGGTGATCCTTTCAGACATGCATGGAACGATGTCGTTGTCCTACAATTTTCCCAATCTTTGTCTTTAAGCAAAAGATAGGTTCTTTGCTCTTTGTCGACGATTAAGTAGTTGTATGCAGGATTCACGTATGCCCTAGTAGATGCGTTTCCAAGTTCACCTTGAAGAGTCGGCAGTGGATGTAGTTTGAAGGCTGCATATTTGTCTTGTTCCAGGAGAGGAATGTCCATCAAAATTTTGATTTTGTGGTCCTCGCATAGAATACTGGTCGTGGCTACTTGAATTAATTCGTCAACGCTGACCTTGGGTCCAGGTATGGGGAAAATAACATCAGTGGCGTTATTTCTAATGTCGTCGAGGATAAGTCCCAATTGTTCTGAAGATAAAATTCCAGGATGCAATTGTCCTCTTCTAGCATCGTGAACTGCGTCTAGCATTGTTGTCGTCGTTCGGATGTTGTGATCAAGTCCTAATTTTATGGCAGCCAGTGTTTTGTCCAGGAGTTTGGAGTATTCTTGGAATTCAGAATGTTTAAATTGTCCATTTAGTTCCTTATTCAGGGTGATGTTGCACCTGACTATGCAGACTTTCTAATTGAGACCTAACCACATGTGTCTGCTTTCCAACAAGGTGTGATAAGTTTGCTTGTGCTTCATTTAATTCTTGCATAACTGCCTCGTAATGTTCACCATCTTCGTAGTTTAGTACACCAGCGATGGGTCCTGCAATCTTTCCAAGGAATCCAAAAAGGGGAACACTGCGCCGAGCTCGAAACTGTGATGATACCAATATAGGAAGATTCTGGCGTGTTCTTTCTAGTTCTTCTAATTGCCGCTGAAGTTCTCGTTGTAGGTCTGCAGCTATTTCCCATCGGTCCTCCCAGGGAAATGATTCGATTCGGACACCGCACCATTCTTCTTTTGGAAAGCATTGCTGCTTCACGTCGTTCAATTTGTAATTCAATTCCTCGAAATGCCTCACTTGTTTGCCGATGTCCAGGAAGATGCTGATCCTCCAATTACTAACTGACCTTCTTACTTCTCCCGAATACTCGTAATATATCCCACTACTTATGTCAAGTGGGGTAATCTGGTATCCGGGGCCGTCAATTGGTCCTATTGGAACTGGATTGATCTGCGCCTTCACGATAATCGAATTAGAGAGGTACAAAACGATTAAGTAGTGTGCCAAGTACATCTTTGTTTTCTAAAAAAAATAGACTGTATGTTAATAACAAAATTTTTGTGAAGGTGATAGTTAAAGATAGGTAACCATCACCTTGTCTTTGTGTTTGGCGAATCTTTCGCCATTGTCATCTTCTAAAATGACATTATTGTTTTGGGTTAACCCTACAACAGTGTACGGACCATTAGCTCGATTGTCGAACTTGTTTGTCCTAACTTCTTTGTAGGTATAGACTTGGTCGCCAACCTTGACCTTCGATGGTCTTGACTTTCGGTCATAAAATTCTTTGGAGCGTTGCTTTGCTCCTTTAAGCTTATCGGCTGCCAGATTTTGAAGTTCATGCAATCGGACCACGAGATCCTTTAGATATGAACCATAGGTTTCTAATTCTGGTCCAAGTGGTAGGGAGGAAGGGATCCGGGCTACTCGTCCAAAAACTAACTCGAATGGGGTTAGGTTTGTAGCTTCATGAACTGACGTGTTATAATTGAGCATCGCAAAAGGAAGTAGACGATCCCAATCGTCAAAATCCTGAGCGTAGTGCTTAATATAATCCGTCAATTCAATATGGCTTCTTTCCAACGCTCCGTTAGTTTGAGGGCGGTATCCGGAAGTCGTAAGTTGTTTTACTCCAAAGATGCTTTCAAGCTTCCGCATTAGGGAGCTTATAAAACTACCTCCTCTATCTGTGAGGACGCATCGAGGCGCTCCATATACAGAAAAGAGGTTTGCTGCTATGGCATGGGCAATGGTGGTTGTTTTTATGTCTGGTATGGGGACCGCAATGCAATATTTACTGAAATTGTCCTGCATTGTTAGTATATGTCTATTGCCGTTGGGAGTGGTTCGAAGTTTTCCCACGGTATCTAGGGACACTTTGTCAAAGGGTTGCGCAGGGGTATCTGTTATTAGCATAGGTTCACGAGTTCGAGCCCTGGCGAGTTTATTCTCAAAGCAACTCTTGCATTTGCGAATATACTCTGTAACTTCGTCTCGCATTCTCGGCCAATAATACCTCTCACGTATTCTTCTATAGGTCTTAGTTATACCTTTATGTCCTCCAATCAGACTGCCATGAAATTCCGATATTATTTTGGGGCGTAATTGTAAAGGTGGTACCTCGATCTTTCCGTGGCATAGTGTGATATTTATATCGCCACCGCGGAATATTCCTGCTAAAAGCTCCGTCATTTTATTTTGAGGGAGTGCTCCTAGAAGGTCACCCGAATTGGCCATTCGGCAATGTTTCTGATTGTCTAAGGTCATAGCATGTCTCAAGTTTGTTAGTCCAGTGATTACGTCATTCCAATTGATTTCGTCAAAATGTCGCTTTTTCACAATGATTGAGTATACTTTATAGCGTCCACAGATAGTGACGTACACCTGTCCTTTAGTTGGTTTACTGTCTCTGATGTCCTGTAAGTCGATCTTTTCGGTTGCCACTAAAAGTTTCGCAATGGGGTCAACGGGTTCACAGTCTTCGGAAATAAAGTGGGCGTAATTGTCTCGTTTGTAAGTCAAAGGTTCTGTCCATTGATGTAAAATGTTTGGGGGGTTTAAATGAACATAATTGTTGGGGTTATCTTCTTCATTTCCTGAGGAATCAGGGGAGGAGGAAGAATCACAATAGGGAAGGTTTAGATCCATTAATAGGTTCCTTTTTGTCTTACTTCCGAACTCACTTGTAGGGGTTAATCTACGGGGCGTGATTTGTATTTTTCTTCGCACCTTTTCTTCCTGTTTTCCCTTGTTGTAATCCGAAAACCTTAAAAATGGGGTGGAATGTGCTTCGGGGATTGTTACCCGACCAGGAGTGAATGATGGCAAACTTGCGGCAAGGTTGCGGTCGATGGTAGGGGTTTCAAAAACTTCGGGAATGTCTTTAAAGCGAACTATACTCCTTTTTCGCGTGGGGGAGGGATTACTTGTTAGTGGAGTATCCATTGTGGTGGTGGGGAGAAGTTCGAGTTCCGGTGGAGGGGGTTTCTCACTTTCTTGAGTTTCAACGCGGCTCTTGTCTAGCTGTTCTAAAAATTTTTTTAGTCTTTCTTCAAATTGTGCATCATCATTCTCTTGGCAAGGGTCCAGGGTTTTCAGATATTCCAAATATTCATGGTCACTATCTCCATCAGAAACGTAGGACTTCTTTCGAGGGGTTCTATCCATCCCTTCATGATCCCATGTTAAGGTTTGGTTAGTTTGATCTGAACGATTTTTTATGATTTCGTTGAACCTTCTGATCGATCGATCTATGCTAGTTTCTGGCTCACACACTTCTTCTTCAGCGAGAGAATGAGAGCTTTCTTCGCTGTCTGGGGGCCGAG